AAAAAGACAAAAAAAAAGACAACAAAACAAGGACACATGTTGTCTTCGTATAAGAACAGAACTGTTCATTGTCTCCAAGCTCGAAAAAAACCTAGCCTCCTTGGTTCCAATGTTGATCATCTTTTATAAGGGAACAAAAACCCTAGCCGCCCAACACTGTAATCCTCTCCACTCTCAACACAAAACACCGCTACCCAAACACGTCTTCGCACAACCCATTTTCCTCTCCTTCCTTCCGCAGCCCCCATCACAACTCCAGACGCAACAACTAGTCTCCCGCCATCTTTGTTCCGCCACCATATATCACAACCTTTGTTTTCACTCATCCATCCATAAACCTTCTAACTGCAAAACACACATCACCATCACCAAATCAACATCAAACCCATTTCCCTTAAAACCCAGAAACTTAAACCAAACACACAACAACAAATCGAACAACATAAACCCCAAATCTTCCTCACCGCCTTCAAATCCGTCAAAACCGGGGCGAATCTGGTTTGAGAGAAGATTGGAGGGGTCACATTTGGATTTGTTTTTCTTTCCCCATTTTGATGGCCCCTTTAAAGAAGTTTATCCATGTCAATCGTGTTCACCTCGTCTCCTTCACAATTTGCATTTTTGATCTTGAAAAGAATAAGACGTGAGTGGGATGAGCGTAGCCGTTCTTTTCTTGTTTCTGTTTTCGCTTTTGGTGGAGTTTGTCAAGTCATGTGAAGCATCCACTGGTTTGGTCTCATTTGAAGGCGGTGGATGTTTTTTATTGTCATTGGAATTGGGCTTTCTGGCCCGATTTGATTAAGCACATCAGCCTCCTTGTTTTTTTTTTCTAGTGGAGCAAATTTTTTTTTGGTGTGGTATAGAGGATGGGCTCAAGCCCACATGACCCACATCTACACATCCTTTTTTCATGTACACACCCTTTTTTCTTTTAAAAAAAAATATAATATATGTTTTATAATTAGTTTTTTTAGATTTTATCTATATTTTTCTAATTAGCTTTTAAATTGTAAATACTTTTTTTAATTAGTCTATTTTAGATTTGTTAATATATTTTTCTAAATTAATTTTTAATAGATGTTAATATAAATTGATTTTTTAGTTTTGTAACATTTTTTTCTAATTCAATCTTTTTTTGGAGTTTTTTTTATTTAAAGTTTTTTTTTTATAATTTTCTAAATAGTTAGTTTTTTAGAATTATAAATTTATTTTCGAATAGTTCTTAGAGTTTTTAGTATACTTTTCTAATTTAAGTGTTTTAGAAGTTTAATATTTTTAGAACTTTATAATACTCTTCTAAAATTAGTTTTTAGAGCTTTTGACCATATTTTTCTAAAGTTAGATTTTAATGTTTTTTTTATCATTGAGGTTTTATTTCCGTATTATTTCGTTTGGGTCGATGATGAGACCCCTAAAACCATTATTGGTCAAATTATTGATAGATGACGGTTTGCCCGAGACCACTTATTTCTCTCCTCATTTCTTCTTCATTTTGATTTTGATTTCTTCGATCTATGAAGTCTTCTATTCGTAAGTGTCGTTTTATCGAAGTCGATAACCTTCTCAATTTCAAATCTATGAAAAATGATCATTTGAGTCATTTTCTTTACTTTGGGATCGTGATAGGCTACCTTCAATTAATTGACATCATGTTTGCGATTAAGACGAGATCCCACCCTTTTTGGTCTGTGCGACACGATTTAATCGGAGAATGATTCTCAATATCATTTCTCTATCTCGTCTTTTGCACGGATATAAATTATGCGACCTCCTATAGTTCGACTTCCATCATAAGTCGAGCTACGACAATTTAGCATTACACTTTGTCCCGATTCAATTCACTAACCAAACTAATCACTAACTTTACTTTCTATCAAATATTAACTGTTTTAAATTCAATCATTATATTCTTGTACATATTTTTATATCATGTATATATTCAAACTGACTTGTACATTCTTTCAAAACACCTAATCAATATCGAAACCATAAAAACCTAAATTGGTGGACTGTTGGTTATATATTTTGTACATTATCTGTATCCTGTATATATTCGTGTTCATCTCCTTTCTTTTCCACATCTTTTTTTCAAAACTTCTTTTCGAAACTTTTTCTCCTAAAACCTATCTTATAAAAAACATCTTTAATAAGAGAGCGAAAGTTCTCTTTGTATTGAATTAAAGAGAGAGGATTGAGTGTATACTTCTTCCTCTCCGAGTGTCAGGATACTCACTATAGAGTGTGTGGTCCTGATACTCGTCTTTCAAATACGAAGACGCTTGTATTCACCACACCCTTTTCTCCTAAAAACCTCGGTCCTGTACTGAGTGCATTTTCAATTCTTTTCACAATAAAAACTTGAATGGTCGTGGAGTGGTTAGGCGTAGGTCTTCTCCTATCCCGAGTGCTTGACATTACCTTTAAGATTCACTATCGCAAAGCACTTATCATTCAAGATCAAAAACATATTTAATAAAGAGAATGAAGTTATCTTTGTATTGAATTAAAGAGAGAGGATTGAGTGTAGACTTCTTTCTCTCCGAGTGTCAGGATACTTACTGTAGAGTGTGTGGTCTCGATAGTCGTCTTTTAGTACGAAGACGCAACTATATTCGCCACACCTTTTCAAATAAAAACTTTGAGATAAAGAATTGGGTACTACCCGCAAGGGGTTACTATCTGAGGACCTATTTCACCCCTAAAGACAACTTCCACAAATCAAATGTGACATCTTTCCTCGTATGGCGAAAATTAATCTTTTCAAAAAGGATATGTTACGTCCGTTCTACCACAAACAAGTAACGCCTAAGTCTCTAACGAGCGAGAAACAATACACCTAAACTGTTAGAATGTGAACGATAGCATCGTCTACCAGAACTTTCCAGAAAACTGTAGGCCGAACTACGACTGCTCTGATTTCTCATGCCAGATGAGAATACGTAGGCACAAGACGACGATGTCTTGGCGAGCACTCTTCTTTATTTTCCATCCTTTCCTCAGAAGGACATGCTACGTCCGTTCTACCGCAAACGGGTAACGCCTAAGTCTCCAACGAGCGAGCAACAATACACTTAAACTGCTAGAATGCACACGATAGCATCGTCTACCAGAACTTCCCCGCAAACCGTAGGTCGAACTATGGTTGCTCTGATTTCTCACGCCTATTGAGATTATGTAGGCATAGGATTGCGACAATCCTAGCGAGCACTCTTTTTTCTTTTCCACCTTTTCCCCGAGAAGGACATGCTACGTCTGTTCTACCGCAAACAGGTAACGCCTAAGTCTCCAACGAGCGAGCAACAATACACCTAAACTGCTAGAATATGTATGCTAGCATCGTCAACCAGAACTTCCCAACAAACCGTAGGACGAACTACGACTGCTCTGATTCTTCACTTCTTTTAAGTCAAGATACGTAGGCACAAGGGCCACAATCCTTGCCGAGCACACTTTCTATCTTTTACCCGTAGTTCCCCGAACTACGTCGACTCTTACTTTCTCATATCTGTTGAGAATACGTAGGCCTAGGACTGCGAAGTCCTACCGAGTCTCTTCTTCCCCGTTACCTCTCTTTCCCCTGTTTTTAACCCTTCTCTCCCCTCTAGGAACACTCATAAAAAGCAATAACTTTAAGCAAATATCTTCACACATCGACAAACAAATGGTTCCCATCGAGTACGATGGATGCGAGGGGTGCTAATACCTTCCCTTCGCATAACCGGCTTCTGAACCCGTTCTTTGGTCGCGAGACCATCTTATCCATATCTTTCTTAGGGTTTTCTCGATATTTTCCCTTCCCCTCATGGGATAAATGAAGTTCGGTGGCAATTCTTCTATCTTTCTTTTCGCCTCCCCACGTTGCATTTTTCGTGTAGCGACAGCTGGCGACTCTGCTGGGGATCCCTAGCATGTCAAACCTAGTTTGTTTGTCGCATTTGTGATTTATTTGTTTTTATTATTTATTATGTTGTGTTCCTTTTACCTGTTGGGTTTATTGGGGTTGGTTTGTGAGGATAAAAGCTTTTTACCCGAGCTTTCTAGTACACACTAAGATTAGGAGGTGGTTTCTTTCTGATTTGCAAGACTTAGGACTCGTTGAGTTCGTTTGAATTCCACAAGTCATTATCGCATCAATATTTTCATTTTTGTCTTTCTTTATCTCACGAGTCATTTTTCTTTTTGTATGATTATTTAATACAATTGAGATTATATAATTATTTTTTTTATTTTACAATTAAATAACTAATTAGAATTTTACATCTGCATATAAATATATTTTATATTGTATCAAATAAACTTTTTATTTCACGCATCACTATAAACACAATACATATTTTATTTTAATCAATAACTATCTTAATTTGAAAAATAAGATCCTTATTTTTAAATATTAATTTTTATTTATTTTACGGGTCTCTTTTTATTTATTTATATTTTAATACAATTGAGTTTATATAATTATTATTTATTTTAAAATTAATAGCTAATTTCAAATTTAAACATATATAATTATATTTTATATCGTATCAAATATATATATACATTTAAAAATATTTATATCATATCAAATAATTTTGTCCTTGTATCACACGCATATCTTACTAATACACGATAAAAGTGAACTGTAAACAAACTTTGTCTATCACAATTTAAGTTAAAATTAATTTAGAAAACATTATTTAAAGTTTAAAGTGTATTCTCTCCATTTTTTTAATTAATTTTTAATTTTTAAATCGATTGAATAAATGATGTATTTGAATAATATATAGATTAAATATATTAATTATTTAATAAATCTAAAATATTAAAAATTATTTATAAAAAAAAAATAGACACTAGTTGATAAAAAAAAACACTGTTATGGTCAATGGTGAATAATATATTATGTAGTACAGGATAAAACCGTGAAGACTTTGTCTATCACCACAAGACAACCACAAACTTCGATTCAAACTGAACTTGTGCTCTTTGCTCTTCGATATTGCTATTTTCTCATTACCATGGCAGAAACATTTCTCTTCGACATGGCTAATTCACTGCTTGGGAAGGTTGCTTCTTATGCTTGCCAAGAAGCTTCTCTAGCCTACGGTGTGTATGATGATCTACAACGGTTCAGAGACTCTTTGACAATTGTCAGTGGTTATCTACTGGATGCTGAGTCCAAGAAGGATCAAAGTCATGCTTTGCGTGAATGGCTGAAGCAGATTCAAAACATTTGCTTTGATGCTGATGACATATTTGATAGATTTGAAACCCAACACAAGAGGAAACAAATTGTCAAATCCTCTGGAAGCACCCGTGTGAAGGTAAGCCACTTGTTTTCTAAATATAATCCAATTGTTTTCCTTTCTACAATCAGACATAAAATGAAAGACATCAGTGACAAATTGGATAAGAAAGCAGCTGACGTGATAATGGTTGGGCTTGGGTTTTCAAGTATTCTAGAACCTGTGGCGCGGGAAAGAGAATTGACTTATCCAATCGTTAATGTTTCAATTGTAATAGGAAGGGATAATGATAAAGATGAAATTATCAAGCTTTTGATGCAACCTTTTCCTCAAGGCGATGGTGATAAGAGCATGTGTGTGATTCCCATTGTGGGAATGGAAGGATTAGGAAAGACCACACTTGCAAAGTTGGTGTTCAATCATGAAATAGTCGATCAGCTTTTCCAATTGAAGTTGTGGGTGTGTGTCTCTTTTAATTTTGACATCAAGCAGATAATCATTGAAATCATCAAGGCTGCCAGTACTTCAGATTCTAAAACAGCTTCAGTTCCACCGATGAGTCTCACTCCCCAAGAAAACATCAACAACTTAGATATTGGCCAACTAACAGATCGAATGAGACAAAAACTTTCTAGTAAATTTTTTTTACTTGTAATAGATGACATGTGGAATGAAGATCCTGAAAATTGGATTGAGTTGGAAGATTTGATAAAAGCTGGCGCACCAGGAAGCAAAATTCTGGTGACAACACGTAGTATATCAATTGCCTCCATGACGGGTAATGTTCCCTCATATGATTTAAAAGGTCTTTCTTCAACAGATTCTTTATCTCTATTTGTACAATGGGCATTCAGGGAAGGTGAAGAAAAAAAGTATCCAAATCTAGTAGAGATTGGAAAAGAAATTGTGAAAAGGTGTCACGGAATTCCACTAGTCCTAAAAACATTAGCAAGTTCTCTTTTCTCAAACTTTGATATAAATAAGTGGAAATTTGTGAGGGACTCTGAGATGTGTAATTATGAACAGAAAAAAAATGATATTTTACCTGCCTTAAAAGAAAGTTATGATCAAATGCCATCCATGTTAAGACAATGTTTTGCTTATTTTTCCCTTTATCCCAAAGATCATATCTTTAATAGTTATGACATGTGTAATCTTTGGGTATCCCTTGGATTAGTTCAACCCCGAAATGGAAGTGAAAAGCTAGAGGATACTGCAAGAAAATATATTGATGAGTTACATTTAAGATCATTTGTTCAGAATGTGGATGACCGTGGCGCCTTTTGCAATTTCAAAGTACATGATTTGATACACGATCTTGCATTGTATGTTGCAGGAGAGGACTTTGAGGCGGTAAAGTCACAAACTAGAAATATACCTTGGCAAGCAAGGCATTTATCATTTGTTGAAGATGAGTCATCTGGTCATGCTTTGTTTCCAGAGTCTAGAAGTGTGAGAAGCATACAATTTCCCATCTCAGGAATAGGTCTTGAAAGTCAAAGTTTGCTGAATACATGGCTGTCAAAGTACAAATACTTGCGTTATTTAGATTTAAGTGACTCTTCTTTTGAAACTATACCCAATTCAATTGCAAAATTAGAGCACCTGCGTAGTCTCGATCTTTCTTATAATGACAAAATCAGAACAGTACCATATTCCATTTGCGAACTACTAAATTTGCAAGTTTTGTGGTTTCATGGATGCACAAAGCTTGAAAAGTTGCCCAAAGGATTAGGAAAGTTGATTAACCTCCGCAGTTTAACTGTCACTACAAAACAATCTATGCTACCACAAGATGAATTTTCTAGCTTGAACAATCTTCAATCTTTGAGATTTTATTTTTGTGGCAATCTGAAGTTTTTGTTCAAACAACCACTCCCTTCTGTTGAAGAACTGTATTTTGAATCATGTGGCAGCCTGGAGTGCCTACCTCTTTATATTTTTCCTAAATTGAAGACATTGTCTATTCGTGATTGTCAGATGTTAAACTTGTCATTGGACAATGAAAACTCAATCCAAAAGTTGAGGATGAAACATTTCTATCTCTTTGATTTTCCAAAGCTTCTAACACTCCCTCGATGGATTGTATGTGCGGTGGACACTTTAGAGACCTTTGCAATTGTCAATTTTCCTAATCTTCAAATGCTTCCTGAGTATCTTTCTACAATGACTCGTCTAAAGAGGATCTTTATTAGTTTCTGTTCTCAACTCTCGACTCTTCCAAGTGATTTGCATCGCCTCACTGCACTTGAAGATTTACGCATATTTGATTGTCCTGAATTGTACCGAAAATGTCAGCCTCATTCTGGTGATTACTGGCCCATGATTTGCAATATTAAAACCATTCACATCGAAGAAGGAGAGGAGGAGGAGGAGGAGGAGGAGGAGGAGCCCTAAAGCATGGAAGGTAAACATTATTTTGTTTTATCAAATAAGTGTTGGTTGCACCTCCCATACTATTTTCCTGTTTAAAAAAATATAAAGTAAGCTCTGAAGTTGCATGAACTATCAAGTGATACTGTTTCATATATAAAAAAATGTACTGTTTTGAGATTAATGTTTTCTTTGTGTAGAGTAAGGATAGATGATGAGATTGGAGTGGAAAAGGGATAAGCATCTTGAGGAGACACAAAAGAGAGCATATCGGTGGTTGATGGCATTTGAGAACATGAATGTCTGATAAGCAGAATAACAAAATGGTTGTTCTATGGTTAACAAATGAGATATGTCATGCATAATACACACAAGTTAATTTCTAACATTTGATCAAATAAGATACCATGAGACTTTTTGATCCAATGTTAAAAAAGTAAACGTGTGTTATGGTATAAGACTGTCTTACTTGTGCACATTAGACTAAGTCTTTATTATAATGTTTGATGTATCTTAACATTTCAAAATGTTTATTTTTTTTTATGTTTGATGTAGTTTAACATATGACGAATTTGATAGCTTGAACCATCTTCAATCCTTGAACTTTCATGATTGTGACAATCTGAAGCTTTTGTTAGACAAGAACCCCCTTTCATTGAAGAACAGCATGCATTTTGAATCATGTGAGAGCCTGGAGTACTTGCCTCTTAATAATTTTTGAAAATTGCAGACTTTGTATATTAGTGATTGTCTTATGTTAAACTTGTCATTGACCAATGGAAGCCCAATACAAAAGTTGAGGATGAAATACACTCATATGCCGTAAATGTTTGCCTCAATCGGGTGAGTATTGACCCACGGTTTCTCATATCAAGAGGAAATCGAGGAAGAGGAATGAAGTCATCCACCTTGAAGATAAACATAGGCTTTTGTAGTATCAAATAAGTGTTAGTTGCACCTTAACTTAACTGCCCATAGCTTTATTCGATCCAATTAATTCTTCTTTCACTTAAGAATTATATTATTAAAACTAAAAATAATGCAAAAACAAAATTCTAGTTTTTAACCTACAGAACCATATTCAGAATCCTGATAGAGAGACTGCATTGCAAACGCAATAGTTTCGGAAAGCTTTCTTGCATGTAAATGGATAGCGCAGCCTTTATATCATTACAATCCTTAGCTTCCTTTTCATGTCAGCCAAGAGTGGAAATGAAAAATTGGCACCAAAAGTTCGGGGTAGAACAGGAAGTTCAACCTTGTAAATGGAAAAGAAACTGAGCCTTTCTTCAGCGGAACGCCACCATATTGTCTCTCAAAAGCTTCAATTTCTGTTCTAAACGTAAGATATATGTTATAATTTCTTATAAAAATCACTAAAATAAATGTAAAGTAATTTAATGACATGATCCGAGATGTAATAATTTGGATCACCATGAGAAGGCTTTTTAAATCTGTTGTTTGGAAGATAAACATCAAAATCTGGCTTCAAATCATTAATCTTCAAGTCATTAAATAACTTATCAATGGAAATCTCAAATTTGGAAACCATGTCTACCATTTGTTTTTGTTCTTCTCTTCCGTCAAAATCTACACATTTCAAGGAATTTCTGATACTCTTCAACATTGTGTTGTGCAATTATGTATTGGGTTTGGCCCCCTTCCTATGTAGAGAAAGGTCCAAATATGATTAGTGATCCGCTATCGCGCTCGGATTAAAAACGAGTATTATAAAAAAAACCGGCAGAAAACTAAATATTTCAAATGGCAGATTTCGGATCCTGACTTCAATGAATTATTTGGACATGTTACACTCTGAATCATCCTCTTCCTCAAACATAAAAGTTGTAGCTCTCTGTCTTAGTTTTCCAACGCCTATTAGAACGTTCAAATCTGATTCTCAAAGTTCCAGTAATGATTCAAACAGTGGACAGATATCAAATAACCGCTAAAGCTAAAAATAAGTTACGAAAATAAAATAAAGGTAAAAACAAAATTAAATATAAAAACACATTAAAATAGTAAAAATACTCAAATAAATTGTAGGAATTTCTAAGTATAACAATGGAAGAGTGTGTATGAAGATGTACTGATCAAATTCCACCACACTTAAACTTTTGCACTCCGAGCAAAATATTATCAAGATTCATGAAAAACAAAAACATTTAGATACTCATTCTAGGCTGTAAACCCTTCTTATATCAAGATTGCATCGATAGGTACTAATTTTGCACACTAAAGATATCGTAAGAACACAAATCCGCAATTGTGCGGTTATAAAGCTCCCTCCTATACAAACCAATCGAAATCATGTTATTATGCTTAAGTCTAACTTCATCATCCTCCTTTTTGTTGGTGATTTTAGTATCATCAATGGATTTTAGTAGTAATGAGATTTATTGTAGGCCAATGCAATTATGCGTTAAGTTTGGAAACGAGTTGGGGTAGTGCGGAGTGCACGCTCATCAAGCCAACATATGATTGAATACGATTAATTGAAACGGGGTTCCAAGAGGCGGAGCCCCTAGCAGGGTCCAAGGGACAGAGCCCCTGGCTGGGGTGCGGGGCAGCGTCCCGAGCGAAAAATTATATTTAAATTTGAATCCCAAATTCCCAACGGTCAGAAATATTTCTGAATAGTTGTGCCGTTTCAATTGCTACTGTTGATCTCCTATAAATAGAATCAATTGGCCTCATTTTCGCACACAGAAAACAATTCCATTCCTATTCTCTACATTCGTGATCTGTTCTCCATTGCCGGATACAGATTGTTCTTCGTGAATTATCCCCGCAAAGATTTTGTGAACCCAGGCAATATATAGGGTCGAAATACTTTGTTCGGAAAGTGTTTCGAACGCGATTCATCGAAGATATCCAAGATTATCAAACCAAATTTCTAACAAACAAACAAAGTATTTATTCTAATAATCATGGCTGGAAACACCGTCAAGGAGATGACCAGAAATTTCGGAAAATTGGACAAGTTTCAAGGACAAGACTTCAGGCGCTGGCAGAAGAAGATGCATTTCATGTTAACAACGTTGAAGGTGGTGCACGTCCTGTCTACACCAATCCCAGTAATTCTGGAAGATGACACGGTTGAAAATCTGAGACGCAAATCAAAGTGGGAGAACGACGACTACATATGCAGAGGGCACATCCTTAACGGTATGTCTGATCCCTTATTTGATATTTACCAAAACGTGGAATCTGCAAAGGAATTGTGGGATTGTCTCGAATCCAAGTACATGGCAGAGGACTCATCCAATAAAAAGTTTCTGGTAACCGATTTCAACAATTACAAAATGGTTGAATCAAGGTCTGTCATGGAACAATTCAATGAACTCCTCCGAATCCTTGGACAGTTCACACTGCGCGGATTAAAGATGGATGAAACAATTTATGTCTCAAGCATCATAGACAAGTTGCCTCCTTCTTGGAAGAATTTCAAACACAATCTGAAGCATGGAAAAGACGAATTGTCTTTGATCCAACTTGGAAGTCATTTGCGCATAGAGGAATCTCTAAGAGCACTGGAAAATGACAAAGGAAAGGGCAAAGAAATTGTTGGACCCTCGGTTAATATGGTCGAAGAGGGTGGTAAGAACGATAACTACAAAAACAAAGGAAAGAAGCGTGTTTTCAAGAACAAAAAGGGCAGTTTCGGTGCTAACAAGAAACCAAAATTAGAATGCTGGAAGTGTGGCAAAACAGGCCACTTCAAGAAGGATTTCCGCTTCGGTAAAAAGCACGACAACGCGAACGCGAGTGGTTCAGGAAAGGGTTCTAAGGACCAATCCGAAAACCAAGGTCAGAAATCAACTCGTGATTTGAATAGTTTTATTAAACATTCAGTTTCACTAAGTTCTGAAGCATTTTATATGCAGGATGATGCTATCGCTTTGTGGATTGATTCTGGCGCCACAACACATGTTTGCAAGGATCGTTTCTGGTTCAAAACTTTTGTTCCAGTGGAAGATGGTTCGGTCCTCTATATGGGAGATGATCACTTCGCTCCCGTTGAAGGCAAATGAAACGTGGTGCTAGAATTTAGTTCTGGGAAAACTATTACTTTGTTTAATGTATTATATGTTCCTAAATTACGTAAGAATTTAATTTCTGGTCCTGTATTAAATAAGCTTGGATACAAGCAAGTGTGTGAATCTGATAAATATGTTTTATCAAAGTCTGGTGTGTTTGTAGGATTTGGATATTATAATAATGGTATGTTTATGATGAATTTGAATGGAGTTCCTACTGATTTCGGTTCTGCTTTTATGTCTTCTTCAAATATTATTAATTTTTCGTTATGGCATGCTCGTTTAGGACATGTACATTATAAAAGAATGCATGAAATGTCTAAAGATAATTTAATTCCTGTTTTTGATAAAAAAAAAAGTGTAAAACTTGCATGTTAACAAAGATCACTAGACAACCTTTTAAAAATATAACAAGGAAATCTGTCATCCTTGAATTGATACACAGTGATTTGTGTGATCTACATGCTACTCCATCATTGGGGCATAAAAAATATTTTGTCACTTTCATAGATGATACATCTAGGTTCTGTTACATTTATCTGTTGCACGCTAAGGACGAAGCCTTAGATAAATTCAAAATTTATTAAACTGAAGTTGAAGTACAACAGAATATGCTAATTAAAACGTTGCGAACAGATAGAGGTGGTGAATATTATGATCCTGTATTTTTCCAATCCGTAGGAATTATTCATGAAACTACGACACCTTATACACCTCAACAGAATGGTGTGGCTGAACGAAAAATAGAGTTCTTAAAGAAATGGTGAATGCCATGTTATCTTACTCTGGTTTGAGTGAAGGGTTTTGGGGAGAAGCTATGTTAACAGCTTGCTATTTGTTAAATAGGATTCCTAATAAAAGGAACAAGACTACCCCATATGAACTTTGGTATAAGAAACGACCCAACTTAATATTTCTACGTGTTTGGGGTTGTAGGGCCGTGGTTAGACTCCCAGACCCAAAAAGAAAAACTTTGGGTGAAAA